CCATTTCAATCATTTTGAATGTGATTTCTCATCAACGGAGGCTTCGATACAAGTTTGATTGTTGTTGCTATTTCTCTCAGATACCGACACCGAGTAATTTTAGACACAGTAGGATCCCCAATGCGACTGAAAAGCTCTTGACTGGTAAGTCCAGGGTTCTTCGGCCTCCTCGTTTAAGTCGTGACATGAGACAACATGAAATAACCCTCGGCTTGCCTTTATCTACCTTTTTTATGTACTTGTGTAGGGGGGCGATGAACTTTTTCACTGTTTGATGCCACCTCCCTATCATTTTAGAAATTTCTAGGGTAGATTTACCTTTTGAGAGTTCTGAGGTGATAGTTTTCTTTTCAACATCACTTAAACTGCTTTTACGGCCCATCTTTTCACTAAATTCTTACACTTTTCTAATAATTTGGCACGCTCAAATCACCGTGCTGATAACAGATATGGCGCCAGTTTGTTTACATTGCACAGATCAGTAAGAAAATTTCAGTGATTGCGCAGATCAGTGTTGCCAACATTGTGTGAAAATTTTGTGTGAATTGATTGGACGGTTTTTGAAATATTAGAAAAAAAGTTATCTCGATAATAATTTGGCACGCAGTGTATATTTAACCCAAAATCTCATAGTTCAAATTGATGTTTCAAATTATTTGACAATGGCAAGAAAAACACTCAAAAATGAGCTGCATTTGAATTTAGTAATGAATAAAAATTAGGCATTTGCTATTCAGTTATATGGAATTGATTCAGTTTTGCATTGTATTATCGCTTTTGATGAAATTTGGATTTTGTACAAAAAAAATTTTGCATTATGTATTAGAGAATACTTTTTGTATCATGTACCAGTGGCAGGAAAGCTAAAAGTTCCATTGAAACTGAAATCTTTGAAAGGTTATCATGAATGCTAGTAGAACAGAATTGATTTGATACTTCATAGCTTCCTTTAAAATGGACAAGCAATTAATACACAAGATGTGTAAACCAGGCTTGAAATACTACATTCAAAATTTAAACAGTATCCAGTTTGGTAAGCAGATAAAGTGTCATTTCACTATGCAATAAACTGTCTCCCTTTGAAAATGGCATTACAGACGTTGAATCTTTTCAAGATAGACCTCTGTCATTTGGATTAATATTTTATTAAGCATCTCAATTTTCTTATAGGCAAGAGCTTCTCTAATCAGGGAAAATTTAATACTTTCAATAAGATTGTTTATTTTTCTTTTAAGACTCCCTCAGTGAGTAGACAAGTTATCAGGATGAAATATATTGATCTAATAATTTTTTTTTTAATAAATCAGCTACTTTTGTTGATCACATAGTTTACTAACATCTAATATTAATTGTTAGTGCTTTCAAAATGTTTTATAAAGAAAGGGAATATTTGAGTTGGAGCTGGTATGCAATAAGTAAAGATGCTACAAAGTTCTAAGGAAGCACTATTAGTAATGCTTTCAATTTTTATCTTTTTACAAAGAGTTTTTAAAGTGTTTATGAAAACATTGGAAACTGACAGGATATATACAAAAAATTTTCTTGCATTATGCATACTACAGAATATTCTCTTTAAGATGCTGTTTTAAATATCTGTATTTAAAAGCTTTAATTGCAGTGAAAAACTAATCTCAGATGCTCACTCATAGGAATTTAATCATAACTAATTTTGTTAATTATTGGTTGTTTTGAAATAACAGAGATAACTTCTAAAATTTGCAATTTTTGTTTACTGTTTATTTTGTTAAGTATTATTGGGAATAACATACTTATGATTCTGGAATAGACATTCTAGAATGTATTGTTGGAATCCGCACAACATCATTGTCACACAACACCAGAGTTTCAAAATGCATAATATATCACAGTCACATGACAAGACAAGTATTAAAAATTCAAAATCGTTTTAAAAATGCAAACTACCACAAAGGGGTTTTGAATTTTATCTAATTTCTTCCATTTGTGATAATAACTGAAGTCAGTTGAAAGCTTGAAACCTTAACAAGAATTAATATGAACTGTGGACAGTTCAAACCCAAGATACAGAAAGTAATCTGCCAGCAAGAAAAATAATATAGACATATCTTGTCTGTTGTATTGTTTAAATGAATGTTTGCTGCTTTGATAAACTGTGTGTATGTATGTAATAAGAACAAAAAGAATATAAATTCAAATGTTCATAACATTAATTTAAAAGAGGGTTCAATGCAAAAAGTAGAGCAATAGTTATTTATTATGTTATTACATATGAACATACAAGTAATCACTACAAAGATGCATATTTGTTTCGATACCTAAAATAAGCATCTCATCAGGTGGTGAACAAAGATGGTTATAAATGATTTTATTTAAAAATGCTACTTATGAAACATCACTTCTTTGTACAGTCTTAAAAATTTTGGAAGGCATAAGAATTTCCATAAAAGGAAAAGAAATATATAAAAATTTCCATTAAAGAAAAAAAAATATGCAGATTAAAGCAGAAAAAAAGAGAACAAGAAATCGATAAAAAAAATCAAGGAAAAATAAAGAAGAGAAGCAGACAGAGTTAAGAGAAAAGCATGAAAAACCTCCCTTCTCTGAAGAAAAGGAAGAGAAAAGGAAAGAGAAAAACAAAGAGGAGTAATGTAACAAAATTAACTAATACAAAGGAAAGGAAAAGAAGAAAGGAAGATGAGAGAAGTTGTTGATAACAATTCAGCAAATGAATTATTGATTTCTTGTCCTCTTCTTTTTTTCTGCTTTAATATAATATGCATCTTTGTAGTGATTACTTGTTTGTTCATATGTAATAACTTATATATATATATATATATATATATATATATACACACACACACGCTACAAAATTCATGTATGATTTTATTTTAATCATTATTAAAACATAAATGAAAATGATTTTCTATAGTAATCAGAAAATAGCAAATTTACTTATTTGGGATTTTGTCTATGTAGAAAAGAGGGCCTAAATGGCTTTTGGAGAATGCTGTTAAAATAATTGTACTCTTCTCAAGCCACTTCTTTTTCTCAAAAAGTAAATTTTTCCAATCAGTATTATAATAAGTAACAGAAATTATACTGAATCAGTCAATTGTAATACATTAGAATAATCTCCACTTTAAAAATGCATTCAAATTTATTTTTTGCTAGCTTTACATATACATACTCATATGCTACATATTAGTAGTAGGTATCTGTTTATCTCATGAGATAAAGGTAGGGCTCTGTTAGATCAAAATTCAGTCTTTTGGTAGTGAAACTGGAGTGGCTACATGGGCCCCCTTCTAGGCTGTACCATTAAGATCCAAAGGAATAAAGGGCATTATATTTGGGACCATCTTGGCTGCAGGAGATGCCAGAAAATTGTCAGTGTTGACAGCCAACTGCATTCGGGGCTCCACTGGGTTTTCTGTCTGGCTTATATTCATATCCTTTTTCGTGTTTGAATATGACTGCCAAGGCAACAGAGGTTTAAATTCAAGGTTTTCTTCCTCCTAGATGGACTGCCTTTCTGGACTGTTGAACTCCATCTACCCAAAGCTGCTGGTTATGAGGAGCCAGTTGTCCACCTTTCATTCTCCCACTTAGAGCTAGACTTAGTTGCTATATGGAGTTATTAGAACTCTATGATGGTGTATGTCATAGATTCATTAGTAATATAACACAAATAAATGTAACATTTTCTAAACAAAATAGGCTGATGGAGATTACTTTCTTAATTTATGATCTTTGAATTAATCAGTATCTATTTGTTATTAAAAAGGGAAAACAGTGCATTTGTAATTTGTTGTGTATTTTCCAAATTGTAAAATATTTTAAAGTGAATTTGTTAGGAGCAGAAAGATTTTAAATATGATGCTTTGAAATCATGACATTTTTCTTCATTTTTTTTCTAATTTCTTAGTGACTATTATTTCATGTGACATTACTAAAATAGTGAATTATGGATTTTAAAATATAACAAGCTTGTATCTTGAAAGATTTAATATCTAAAATATACTTTTTTGAGATATTTAATTTTTTATTAATTTTTTTAATTTCAAACAAAATTTAATTTTATTTCTCCAAGTGTATGTATTTTTAAACTTTATTAGATATATAAAATGTGATTTATTAATTTTTTCAAAAATAAATTATTTTTTAATTTTAGGTGTTTGAATTTCATGATCTTATAATTTAATTATTCTTGTTAAGATAAATAGTGTGTGTATATGATGTGTGTATACGCATGTGTTTTTGAACATAAAAATATAGGTCCTTGCTAGATTAGATAATTGTTATATTTATTTTTTATATGTTTATATTTGATTTGTAACCTGTAGTCGATATTAATTTTGTCAAATTTTCTTAATTACACAGCGGCCCTTTCAGTAAATGCCCTTCAGTTTTAGTTCCCCCCCCATCCCCCCCTTTTCCTTTTCTTTTCCTCTCCTTCCCTCTTCTTCTGATCTTTAAGATTAGATCGTCTATGGTGTGTGTATGTCACCACAAAATGTATCCTTTACGGTTACATCTTTAATGTATTAGACATCCGACAACATTCATATTTCTCTCACTTAAACCTCTTCAACTCACCTCTCTAAAACTTCTCTGTTAAGGTTTAATCTCCCACCTTCTCTCGTCTGTTACCCCTCTCTTTAGCTCTAACATTCGTCCCACACTCTCATACTTATACTCTCTCTCTAAATTCTATTTTTATTTCCGGAGTTGTTTTTTCTGTTTTCTTTTTGAATTTGTAGGTCTGATAAATTGGATTGTATTTACAATTTCAATGGAATAAATTATGACCATGGAATATTAGTGTTTAAGCTTTTTTTTTTATTATTATTATTTATATATATATATATATATATATATATAGATTAAATATCTTTAATATATTTATATAATCTATGCTGTCAGGTTTTTAATTTTATGTTATTTTTATGTTTTAGCTTTGAAGTGGAAAGAAATATTGAAATTATCTTCTAATTTTTTTTTTTTATTTTTTTTTTTTATAGAAAGAGCTTCAGGATCAGTTGAAGCAAAAAATTGAAGATGATGATTCTTTGATTGGTTTCAATAAAGAGGGTGAGGAAGAGAAGAAAGATGAAGAGGGTGGGGAAAAAACCAAAGAGGCTATCATCGAGGAGGAGGAGAAGGTAGTAGAGGAGGCTAAAGAAGGTGACGAGGAAGAGAAGAAAAAGGAGAAAGAGGACACTAAAGAAACTGAGGCAGATGAGAAGACAAATGAGGAGGTGGAGAAAAAAGAGGTGAAGAAATGATTTTGGATATCTGCTAGTTTGCTTTGCATTGATTGGCTGCCCAATGAACTCTTTAACCTCTTTTTTCCTTGCATGACTTAACAAGATTTGGGGCTGTTTTATTTTATCATCTTCAAATCTGGCAGAACAAACATGAAAAGCCTGTTAGTTGGTAGTAATAAGTAAGCAAAAACTATTTTTTTTTTTTTTTTAATGAAACAAATGTTAATTCAAAGTAGGTATCTTTTAAATATGATTACTTTGGTTTATTCTACAAAGAACTGATAGATTAATTTGCTACTATATATAGTGACTATATTTGCATTGAATTTTTATTATTTTTCTGCCATTTGAAATGATTTTAACTGCATAATCATTGTGTTTTCTAAAAAATCCTTATGATCAAAGGTTTCTTTAGACTAGTTTACTCATCTTTGCTGTACTTATGAAGCGGATATATCTCATTTCTGATCATTCACTAACATAATTAACATTAGCACTGGACAGATTTTGCAACTTCCCAAATATAATGGAATAGTCTGAAAAGTTTTTGGTCCAGACCATTCTGCAAAATTAGTATTTCAATGAACAAGCATCAGAATTTTTTCTTTTGAAACATTACAGAAACTTAAGAAATAATATACCAAGTGTGTTGAATTGCAGAATTAACAACCCACCTTCCAAATATGACATCTAGCATGTACATTTCATAGTTGTATGTCCTTCACTTCTTGAGAACTTTTCAGTACCTCTTTGTAAAGTGTTTGTAAACCTCTAAGAGATAAGTCAAAAGAAACTTTCTAAATCATTTTTGAGATATTTAAAAGATTTTCAATATTTAAATTCTTTTCATGTTTATTTGGAAGATTGCAAATTTGTATTTTATTTCTAATTTATTGAAAAACTTTAGAAAATATTAAATCTTTTTTTTGTAATTTATTGCATGTTTATTATTGGGATGAAGCATGTGATAAAAGTTTTAATCATTTCATAAATATCTGTCGAAATAATATGATTTGTGGTTGCTGTAAGAAAAATGTTTAACAATTTAGTATGATTTTTTTTTGTTTTGAGCTTACATCTATTGTTTAATATTGTCTTGTGTCTGAATATTTACTAGTTCTCAATCCTAGAATGTGTTTTTCTCTAGAATTTAATGATCAAATTTAACTGATATTACATAAAATAATTTACCCTAAATTCTATAAGGGAGGTTTGAATATACAAATGGTATTTAGTTTATAAAACAATTAACTTGTCAATTTGCTTGTTAATAAGGCTTTATCACAACATTTATTAAAATCCTTTGTGTACGGATTATATTTATAAAACCCTTTTTACAAAGATTAAAACAAAGTCCAAGATGAGCATAGACAGGTTTCAAAACTTGCATACTAGATTTATCAAATTTATTTGCAAAAAGAATGCTTTTATTAAAAAAAATTTAATTTTACAAAACTGAAAACAGAAGTTTTTAAATCTAGGCTGTTTGTCTTATACTATTAAATCTTCCCAAACTAAAGAAAGAAATGAAAGAAAAAGCTGTAATTCTGACATAGATTTTCAACTAGACTTCATATTTTCAGTAAAAGATTAAAGACTGTAGACTAAAATCTGAGTTGAAAACAAAAATTATATTGGCGAGTGTATATTTTCTATTCTTTTGCACAGATTTTTTGTATAACAAACCTATTAACTGAGGTACAGCTTCATAACCATTCTTTCTAGAGTGTGTGAAGTTAAAAACATTAAAATATTTATTATGCTATTATCTGTTAACCACAATGTTTTAGTTAATTTAATGACTAATATTTAGATTGAGAGAGTAAATAGTAAGAGTAAATAGTCTCATGGTATCTCAAAAAGCTTTTCAAGTCTTTCAGCTGAATATCTTTTCAAGGCAGAACATTGTTAAAGTGAAGAGTTTCTTTTTTGTATCTTTTTATTCAAAAATATATACAAGGGGTGCTGAAAAGTTTGCAGCACAGTCCACCTTCCAAAATATGACTAAATGACTTCAGAATTTAGACTTTTTTTTTTTATTAAGGGCTTCTTGGTTAGACCAAAAAGTTTTCACTACTACCTTATACTAATTTAGAAACGCTCAACTTTCCCTATTCTAAACTGGAAAATTTTAACTTCTTTTTATTGATTTTGAATTCTGACAAATCATCACTTATCCATGTTTAACAATCACAATTCTTATATAGTCAGGAACAGATTAAATTTATCTTATTTGTTTCTGAGGAATATTATTAACCTATTTAAATAGATTATAATTCATTTCTTTTTAATCTATGGAAATCAATTTTTAAAACAAGTGTATGAAATGGTTATTAAATTGAAACTGTCCTGTAAATGATTCAATTTTAAAATTCTAATTTTAAAATGTTAGACACACCAAGCACTTGGCTTCCATGATTAAGTCAAGTTTTTGTCATTTGATATTTTAAACTGGATGCTAATTTCCTTAATCTTTAAGGAGTGGATAATCCTTTTCCTTCTGCCTTCCCCAAGGGATTTAAATCAATCATTATCATCCTCTCTAAAAAAAAATTGCAGATTCTTTATAAATCCCTTTAAAATGTACCACTTAAATATGTTATGTAATGTCTTAAAAATAAATACTTATTTCAGGAGACTTAATATTTTATGTTATGCTGTTCCTCTTGTCATAAAATATCTTTAGTTACATTTGTGTCATTCATGAGGAACAAAAGAAAGTAAATGTTTACCAAACGTTTTCTAATAAAAGTTACAGCACTGGGGAAATAGTAAAAGACATTCAAGTGTATGAAGTTCAATAATTAAAATAGCTGTATATAAAATCTCATATATGTTAGTTTTAGTAAGAGTTGCTCAATTAAAATAGTAATTGTTAAATTACTATGTGCTTCTATTATCTGCTTTATAAAAATGCAATCATCTTTCACTTTCTGTTTATAAGATTTCGGTCAACACTTTCTAAAGAAAAGTCTGGCTTGCTTAGGTTAGATCATTTGTGTGATAATCCTCTTTCATCCCATTAATAGGATTAGAATAATGCTTCCTGGGTAGTAGAAAATATAATACATTTTTCAATTGTAAATTCAGGGAATTTAATTAAATTTTAGTACTTGTAAAATATTAGTGTTAGGGATGAGAGTAATGTCAGTTTTATTTTGCATCTAATTATTTTTATATTATACCAAATCACTAATATATATATTTTACTTGTTTTGTATTCATTCTATCAAAAGAATTAATCTACTCTGTCTACTTCAATATCTTTTTTTCTTCAAGTGCATGTATCATTATTTCTTTTTATTTTATCTATTTATGTCTTTGGGAATTCATTTAGCAAACAATTGTTTACACCTTAAAAATATATCCTTAAAACTGCCATATTATTGTTTTAAATATTGTCATATCTACAAGATATCTAAAACTACATTATCTCTCTTTTCAAAGTTACAGAAAATAAATATAAAATTTCATGGGGAAAATATTCTTGACCTTTTACAAAAAAAAAATGTCATGTATAGCTTGAATGGTATGAAGTTTATATTTTAAGTGACAGTACCAGAATGGTATAAAGTTTGAATTTTAAATGACAGTGCCAATCTACCATTGGTGAGTTTGCTCAAAAGTTGTAAATATTTAATATTTTGTAATGTAATAATTAAAATTTCTTTCTAAGGTGTTTTCTTAAGAACATTCAGATTGTAAATAGTTTTTTAAAAGGCATTTTTGTAAATAGCTCAGTGGAACAGCATTGAACTGAAAAAGCAAAATCAGATGTTCAAATTTCTGTTAGGTTTATTACCACATATCTTTTTAGAAAGTTTTGATTTCAAATCCAAGAGACAATGCTATCTGAAACAGCTTTGTATAGATGCAGATGAAGCCATAAGGGGGTTTCTTTGTATTTAGTGTCCTGTATATGGATTGAAATAAAGCTAAAGGATGTTTTCAGGTTTTATTTATTTAAAAATAAAGAAATTGTTTTATTTTTTTTTTTTTTTTTTTTAAGCTTTTTTCCTTGCTATTAGAATATTATTAACTTCCTATTGATTTGTTTTTTTATCATCAATAAAAGTAATAAAAACATGGAAATTTGCAGCAAACAAATTATATTAGTATGAAATATCTCGCCAGTATAAAAGTTATAATTCAGTTGCTAATTCCAATTTTTATTACTAATTTATAACCTGCTTCCACTTTTGATCTTCATTATATTGTTGGTGTCTGTACCATTTCCGTTTTATAATGAAAAAAAAATTTTGTAAAGTTATTACTTTTTCTTTTCCTGATTAAATTCCACAAACCAACTCCTGAAACCAACCATTGTTTTATTTGATTTTATTGTACTAATTAGTTTATATTTCTCGAACCAAACAGGAAGTGTTCGCAGATAATGAGCAACTGGAGACACAGGTAAATCCAGAGTGTCCTTCATTAGACTGATGCATGTATAAAACCATTTCTAAATTTGTTAAATGAATTGAACATCTATTTATATGCAGCATCAATATCTACTGAAGAAACTTAAATTCCTGTCAATACTGCTTTGCATTATTCATCTCTCTTTCAAACTTCCAAACCTCTATTATTTGTCCCCTTGTATGTTGTTTCTTTCACAGTTAACAAAAAATGGTTTCTCAGTCAACTTTTTAATTTTTTAAATATTTCTGAGGTTTTTTATTACAGTTTCTACAAATTATGCACAATTTTAGAAACCAATTTAATAATTTACAATTATTTTTTATTTTCCTGTAGATATTTGCTTGTTTGTAAGATATTTCTTGATACTAGTTTCTTCCAATATTTATTCACTGCATACATTGTAGTAATCACTATTTTTGACCCATATTCCAAGAAGTCAGTACATTCAGGTCATAATTCATAGGAAGCTGAATTTTCTGCTCTTAAAATGCTTTCACTCTTGTGGTAAGTTGTGTGGCTTCATTCTCAGTTACAGCTAAATTTAGCATAAAACAATTCCATTGAAAATGATAGACTTTTATTTTCTCTGTATATGAATATTATTTTCATTCTCTTATGGCTCTATTTTGATTTAATGATAATATATAAGTGAAGAGATCACTAGAAATTGTTACAGTTTTTAGTTTTGCATATTTTTACTAATTCTATAAAAAGACAATTACTTCATTTGAATATGTATGTAATCCTTATGGTTAATATATACAAATTTTAAAATCTTATTCCTGGTATAGTTTTTGAAAGAGATGCATTACTGTTGAACTTTAGATTATTGTGTATAATTTGGATTGAAAAACATCACAAGAACGAAATATTAAAGTTCTCTGTACGATAGCAATATTTCAAGAAATAAATGGACATTAGAAAAAACTATGAAATGTGGCAAAAATACCAATCATAATTGTATGGAATGATAGATATTATTGATTATGAAGTTGTTTGACATCTTTTATTAAGCAAAATTGTTAACATATCAAGAAGTTAGTGCCAGAAAGTTTATATGGTATCTGTATTTTAAAGAAGGGACCAAGTGGTTTAAAAAAGGAAAAATATGAAAAAAATGTTTGAATTACTGAATTTTCCTTAGAAATTTAGTTTTTACCATTAAAACTTACAATGACTGTATGTATTTTGAATTGACGAAATAAACCTTGTTGCATTTAGGATTGAAAATAGTTTGACATTATGAAATTGACATAATTCAGAGTTTTAAAGTTTTAAAATCAAGATTCCTCAAAATAATATTCATTTAGGTATAGTTACTTTTGTTGAAGTTAAGATTTTTGAAGATTTTATATGATTATTAGTTCAGTTCTTTTAACAGTGATTATAACTCATTTGTTAGAAATTGTCACACTGATTTGCAATTTAATTTTTTTTCCTTTTCTGTTATCACTTTAATCCCTGCCCTTATGCTGCCTTCATTCCATCTTTTCTTTCAGTTTTATCTTTAGCATTAACATTTGTATGAAATAATCCTTATATTTATTGGATGCAACATTCTCCACCCACTCACTAAATGGTATATGTCATACTCTTTAACACTTATTTCTACTATTCCTGGTGTGCACCTTACTATCTTCCAAGCATTTAATGCTGCTTTCCTCAAATCTATTTTATAACTGGTTTTATCTTTTTTGGCTGATTTCTATTTCTGTCTGGAATTAAACATTCTTTAAAATCTCTATTCACCTTAAATTTGAGGAAGGAAATATGTCACTTAGATTCAGAAAAAGTGATAAAAGAAACATATTGCTCTAATTGTAATAATATAAGACACGTAGTATTCAATATATTAGTGCATACAATAAAAGAAAGAAGCACATCTCGAAAGATGATCACTTTGAGGATTATTTCTAAAAAGTTTTGTATGCCAATCTACTTTGACCTATTTGCTATTCATATTTTCTAATTTTATCATTGGAATTTTAGTAAACATGAGGAGTAAGCACAAAGATATGCTGATCTCTAGCTAATCAAATTTACACTTGAGCATTGTGTAATAAAAACAAACAATTGGCATTGTATTGTGAAACAAGTTACCACCTAACATTTGCTATTGTTTTATTGAAAAATGTATTAAAATAATTTGAGTGAGTATCAAGTTATACACTGTCCAATACCAAAAGGAATTTATTTAATGGATTTTGAACTGCTTTTAATGGTATGAAAGAATACACTGTTGGGAATAGTAGATTACTTAGCCAAGAAAACAAATTTAATACATCATTTTTTTTTTTTTTTTTTTCAAAATATTCAAACTGGTCTCATAGCTGCTTTCCCTGAAATAATAATTAATGTAATGGCTGCTTTCATTAATTACTCAATTCTGGTAGCCATTTTGAATATTTTGTTAATAGTTTCAAGTAATTAGTTCATAGTTTCTTTAATTTTCTTTTTTTTTTTAACTTGTGTTTTTAATAAATATTGAATTATTTAGAATATTTTATCTTCTTGATTTGAACTATTTTTTTTTTTCTTTTCATTTGATCTCTTTTTCTGGTCAGAACCTTTTTCTTGACTTGATCCTTACATTATGTAACTGATCAGCATGCAATGCCCTTTAAGCTCATTCATTTGCATGCTCCTCTCCTCATAAAATCTGAAAACATTTCATTTTATTTAATATTTTTTCTCTTTATTTTACAATTAAGAAATTTATTATATTTTGTCTTTTAATAGCAATGTTCTTATAAAAATTCAGTTTTGATATTATACATTTATGTACTATTTATAAAAGCAAATAAATGTATTAAAATAAAGACATTTTAATTTAAAAATAATATTCAGTTCTGTCTATAATATAATGTTGAAGTACAATTATGACATTTAAGCAATAGCTCACTCAACTAAAATTAAAGGAAAGGATATTTATGTTACTTTGACCCAATACTTGTTTTGTTTAATACTTTTAATAATATCTTTGGGACTTGTAGGAAAATAACATTAAGGGATTGTTTAAATATTTATAATTTTGAATTATTTAACTAGACTAAAGTTTATATAAAAATGAAAAATGTTCCTTTTTTAACTATGATTCCTCTTTCATTCTTCATTTATCTCAATACTATATTTTATTATTATTATAAACGGTGCTCGGTAAAAATGGCAATGGTAAAAATGGCAAAAGGGGATAAATAGGAAAAAATGGCAATTCCACAACAGAAAATTATAACCGTTCAAGGATGGGTCTAAGCTCCCACCCCTCTAGTTTAAAATAGGGCTAAGTCCCCCCCCCAACCTCAATATTTTAAAATAAATATTTTTAAATAGATATTTACTCTAGTGGGGTGGGGAGCTAGGCTCCTTCTCCTCTTGTTTTAAATAGGGGCTAAGTTCCTGCTCCTAGTATTAAAAACATTTTTTTTAAATTTTCTATGTGGATTTTTAGAAGTTTTATTGGGTGGGGGGCTCTAGGTTCCTACTACTAATTGCAGTAAAAACACAAATCATAGCTTGTTTAAGTGAATTTGATGACTATAATTAATTTTATAATTGATAGCTGACATTAGAATTAGATGTGTGTGAGTGTGTGTGTGTATATATATATATATAATAAGTGTATTAGTGTTTATATATCTATATATAAAATAAGTGTATTAGTGTGTGTGTGTGTATATATATATATATATATATATATATTATTAGCTCCTGAATTTGATTTCAGTTGAGCACTCTGGGAATGAGGTGTGGATTGGTAAACAGTGACTATTATAGCTAATATAGCGAGACTCTTCGCGTAAGCGAATTGAGTCACTGTCAGTCACTGGGCATGTTTACAAAAATAAAATATGCTAAAAATCTACCTCCATTCCTACCGTCGGCTTAGTGGTTAGAAGCTCCGACTGACACCAATTCAGTCGGGTTTCGATCCTAGCTAGAGGCAACCGGATGTCTAGCCGCACTGATGAGCTGTAAACAGCGAAACAGTCTGTCTGTGGATGACATTATATATACATATATATATATATATATATATATATATATATATATATATATATTAGTATTAAATGGGCCAATGATTAATCGGAATGGGGGAAGGCGAAGGTTAGGAATTCCACTGGTCTAATTTAAGTATTTTATTGGTAAATTATGGTAAACAAGTAAATATTCTAGAGTTCACTTAGCCTATTCCCTCAGCAAACCTTTTGAATTTCTGTTCACACCTATTTGCTAAATGTCTGATATGACACTTCTCAGAGACTTCACACTTGAGTATTAAAAGATTGAAACCACATCAGACAATATTTTAAATTTTACTAGCACCAGTCTGACCCTGTCATTGTCTGATAACCTCTGAAATAATGTTTTTTTATTATTTTTTTTGGGGGGGGTTCATCAAGTGGACCTATAATTGTTTTTTCCCAAGTTTTTCAGTGTGTTCAGACTTAATCACCTAAAAAGTAAAACATTTATGTATTGTATCCAAGATTTTAATAAACTCATTGTGAGATATTCATCTATATTTTTTTCCTTTTGCCATTTCTTCTTATTTATCCATTTTTGCCATTTTTACCTATTTATCCACTTTTGCCATTTTTACCCTGCCATTTTTTCCGTTGGCATTTTTACCTAAATTCATTATAAACATAGTATATAAGTTACTAAGTATTCCCCTGCAAGTCAATGGTGCTAAATAAAATTTTAAGTGATTTTTAAAACCATACTTAATATTTATTTTGTTGCTTGTAAAGCATAAATGTTCCTTGATTTTTTTTTTCCCCCACAAATTATTGGAAGACTGGTATTTATATATCAGATTTTCTGAATAAGCAAAAATTCTTCAAGTCTAAAGGAATACCACTGACAGATGACTTTGATTTATTTTTAAAGTTGTGTGCACTTGGTTTTAATTTGTATCAAAGCAGAAAATTGATGATCAGCAGATGTTACATTCTCTTTCATGTATTGGTAGAAATTTATTACAGTCTTAA